GTTGGCACATGCCTGTAGTCCCAGCTACTCGGGAGGCTGAGGCAGAAGAATCGCTTGAGCCCAGGAGTTTGAGGTTGCTGTGAGCTAGGCTGACGCCACAGCACTCACTCTAGCCAAGGCAACAAAGCAAGACTCTGTCTCAAAAAAAAAAGAAAAAAAAAGATTTCCTCTTGTTGGAATTGTGATAGTTTGGCATGTTTTGTGCTATTTAGAGATTAAAGTATTAATAAATGGATTATTGCTTCCACTGAAAGGTCTCAATTCAGGCAAAAAATGCACAAGGAATGACAGCAGAATGGGCGGCAAGGCTCTAAGTACCTGAGCAATGATCTGCTATCTCCAAAGGACTCTCTGGTAAAGTCTCAAGTGGAGGGCATGTCATGCTTGGGGTAACTGAGTGCTGGCAGGGTCTGCTTCAAGAAGCAGAGGAGGGATTGACTGAGCACTGCTAACCTGGTGACACATGGTGACTCTGACTACCAGTAAAATGAAGTCTAATGAATGTTTTGGGCTCTGAATAGTTACATTAGTAACCAATTCCTTCTCCCTTTGTTGTGGTGGTGAAGAATGGTGTTGGCAAGCATTGTCTTAGCATAGGAAGAGGGATATGATCTCTCCTCTCAACACAATTTAAATATTTTAGAAGATTTATTTTAAATCATTTTTGTTAACTTAGCTAATTTACTTCTGTCATTATTTTAGAGGAGAACATGCATGCCGTTAATGATACATAGCTAGTTCTTGAATATCCTTTCAACTTTGTTTCATTACAGCTTAATGCAGAATATACCCTTACAGTGCCATTCTGAAGTGACAAAGAATCCAGATATTTTCAAATTAGTGTTTAATCTTGTAATGTGTAACTATTTCCTGGAAAGTTTTAGGAAAGATCTTAGGAATTTTGTCTATTTTGATAAGATTGATATAATTGCATGCATTCTGTTTGTTAGGGCTTCTATTTTTTTATCTTAAAAATATTAATGCAGGGCTTACAATCTCATAAATCAGTTACTGTTCAGATAAAAAAAGTAACATGTCTCTTGATTAGTGCAAACAATAAATTAGTTTTCTATTGTGTTTTGTTCGCTTAGCTTAGAATCTGACATTCTTCAAGAAGCTACCACCAAAGACAATCAGGAGAAACATACATACACCCAGCCACTGTCTTCTTTCCTTACTAGTGAAATTGTTTCGTGCATTTCAGCACTCTCTATGTGAGGAAAAGCAATAATTGTATAACAGTAATTAACATGTGTTCATAAATGTTACAGATATTGAAGTTTATGAATTTTCCTAGTACCATCAATAATCTGTTACTACCTACATAACCATCCCTCTTTCATCGCTCAATTAATAATTGAGGGGCTAGTTGGGGCCACGGTTTTGCTAGATACCGGCAATCTGAAGAACCAGAGAGCACAACTCCTGCTCTGTGTTTATAACCCAGCAAAGATGACACAGAAAAATCATTAGGAGTGTTTTCAAGAAGTGCAGGGTGCAATGGGAGCTAAAGGTCAATTACCCAGGCTGCGGCTCACCCTGATTTCTTGATTCTTTTTACATTTCAAAATTGAAGAAAGAAAGAAAGTGAGGATATAAACTATATTACATGATGGTTGCATGCACACATATCTTCCAAGAAGAACATTATTCAAATAACTGAGATTCTCTCAGTCCACCTCTTTGGAAGGTTTGCTTGTGTGTCTACCAGTGGTGTTCACGAACCTCCCTCCCCTCCAATGCTGAAAGGAGAGAGCAGGAAGGGGTGTGGAAGGGATGGCCATATGGAGATGGAAGGGATTCAGTTTTCCATCTTTCAAAGGAAAAAGAACCGGTTGGTGAGCTCCTTCTGAAGAGTGAAAGGTCAGAGTTGAGCAGGGTAAGAAAGCCATGCCCTTGTGAGGAGCAGAGTTCAGGGTCTAATTCCTGTTGCCTTATCAGCCTCCGATTGTACTCGCCGGGAGAGCCGATAACATCAAATGAGTACAGAGCTGCGGAACTGGAGCGCCTAGGCTACTTTACACCGACTTGGAAAATGTCGGGATAAATTTCAGAAGCGGCGGGGGGCAGAGGGCGTTGGATATTACAGTCCTTTTATAAGTCTCAAGACTTTGTGGTTATTGAGTTGTTTTGTGTGTTTTCCCCTTCACCGTTGACTTGTCACCAATTCACTGAGGAAGGATGGCTTGTGAATGGGAGGGTGAGGGCTGAGGGAAGGTTTCAAGGACTAGGATCTTTTTTTTTTTTTGAGACAGAGTCTCACTCTTTTGCCCCGGCTAGAGTGAGTGCCGTGGTGTCAGCCTAGCTCACAGCAACCTCAGACTCCTGGGCTCAAGCAATCCTTCTGCCTCAGCCTCCCGAGTAGCTGGGACTACAGGCATGCGCCACCATGCCCGGCTAATATTTTCTATATATTTTTAGTTGTCCGATTAATTTCTTTCTATTTTTAGTAGAGACGGGGTCTCGCTCTTGCTCAGGCTGGTTTCGAACTCCTGAGCTCAAACGATCCGCCCGCCTCGACCTCCCAGAGTGTTAGGATTACAGGCGTGAGCCACCGCGCCCGGCCAAGGACTAGGATCTTAAAATGAGATAGGCACCTGCACAGGTCACAGTTTAAAAGATGACGGTCCACACCAGTTGTGGGAAATGATCTCAGAGAGGCTGTTACTCTTCCCTAAAGCTTCATTTTTTGTTTTTAAATTACGATGGGTAACATCCCCTTTAGAAGACAGAATGCTACTCTAAGGCTAGCTCTCTTATCGGTTGGCCGGGGCTAGCAGGGGTGTGCAAGCGGTCGCCCCCAATGCCGCAGCCGGGACCGGCGGGCACGAACGCGGCCCGCGCCCGGCTCTCCCTCAGAGGCCGCTGGGCGCGCGCGCACGGCCGAAGCGCGCGTCCCCGCCCCTCGCGAGCGCGCTGCCCTCCTCTTTCCCCCGCCCCACGCGCGGGTCCCTGGCGCCCCCGCCCGCCCCGCGCTCCCACAGCCCGAGCGCCGCTCAGCTGACCCGCGGGCGCCAGACGCCCCGGCTCCCGGCTCGGGAGCGCAGCTGCGGCGGCGCGAGGCTCTCACGCCGACACTCCCCCTGCGCGCCCCTCCCCCACCGCGGCCGGGATCCGGACCAACTGGGCGCGAGCCCGCGGCCGCTTCCCCGGCGCCGAGCGAGGAGCCAGGCTGCGGTGGCGAGCGGTGGCTGCGCGGCCATGGGCTTGCCGGTGTCGCCGTAGGAAGGGCGCGGAGACCGCAGCCGTAGCGGCGGCGGCAGTAGCTTCCGCAGCAGTCACCACAGAAGCCTTCCCGGGCGGCAGCGGCGGCCACAGGAGCAGCGCGGCCGGGATGAGCGGGAGCGGCGCGGTGCCCGGCCCGGGCTCGGGCTCCTCCCCGGCCGCCTGCCGCTTCGCGCACTACTTCGTGCTGTGCGGGATCGACGCGGACAGCGGGCTGGAGCCCGACGAGCTGGCGGGTAAGGCCGGGCTGCGGCGCGGCGGGGGATCCTCAGGGGCGCGGGGGACGCGCGGGAGGCGGGGTGCGGGCTCCAGACAAAGTCAGCCCCTGGCGGTGCCTCCCGCTGCTGCTCTTCGGCCGAACGGGCGCTCGGGCGGCGATTTAATGACATTGTTATTTATTCCGCGTGCAGGGCGCGCTGCTGATTCCGCGGGCGCCGCGCCGCCGGGGGCTTTCGTCTCCGGGGCTCTGGGTTATTAATAACAGGCGCGGGGGCAGGGCGGCCCCCAGGGCACGGTCCCCGCACGGCACGCAGGCCCCTTGGCCCGCAGCTGCGCGCGGAGCCAACCAGTGACTCACTGGGCGCGCTGACTCCCCGCCCTTGTGGCGGTCCCCTGTATCCCACCCCCTCCCTCTCCGCCCCGGCTGCGAAGTTTCGGCCCCGCGCGTGACGCGGCGCTCAGGCTGCTTCGCAGGAGGGGGTGTCGGAGGTCGCTCGGCTGCTGGCTGGGTTGGCTCCCTCCGAGGCGGTGGTGGCCGTGTGGGGCGAGCGCGCGGCGGGAGGCTAGCTGGACTTCATCCTTGACTGTTCCCGGTCTGCGCCGCCTCCCGCCTCGGGTTCTGCGATGTCGGTCGAGTCACCTTTTGGAATCCTGTCGATTTGGCAGTGTCACGGGAGCTGGCGGGGACCTTTGGACGCTCGGGACCCGGCACGACGCTTTGTTGACACTGCTTACACTGTTCCAGAGTTTAAGTAGTGGGATATTTTCCCCTCAGTTTGGCGCACCGTGCATTAGTGCCTGGGTTTTCTTGGAGGGGCACCGGTCCCCTCTTTTGACTCATTTGATGGCGCAGTGCCGGGCTGTGCTGGGGGACGGACGATGGGAAAAGGGGCCGTTAAAGGGCGGTGGTGGGCGGGGGGAGTGCACAGTGTGGAGAGGACGCCGGGGAGAAACGACTGATTTCATTTTTCACACCTATTTCTTTCTGTTTGCCTCCGTGGGATCTGAATCTTGATGATGATGTTGTTAAATGGGTGAGACAAGTGACATCTGCCGCCTGAACTTTATCTGTGTCAGTGTTAAACACTTAGGTTATAGCCTTTCAGAACAGCTTCCTCCGGACATGGAATTCCTTATCGATTGCACCAATGTGGGTTTTTCTCTTTTCCTTTGGCGGGGGGGAGGGGAACTGGGAAGAATGTATTAAATAATAAACAGTAGTAGACAAAACTTCAGCCTTAAGATACAGTATCTATCAACCCACATCTTAGCTAAGAGAGTATCTTTTCCTTAACTCAGCTTCACAGCAAGACATTTTCAACAAAAACTGTAAGTCTAGTTTTAGTTAAAAAAAATTGAGAAAAAGAGAGATAATAGAGTACCAGGTTTTTCTATATGTGTAATTATGTAATCATATTGTTTCTTCCACTGAGATTTCATCTACATGTTAAGAATGGCTTTGCTAAGGGATGTGAAGTTCAAAAAAATGTCTACAGAGAGATTTGGAGAGATTCTTCTTAGAGATTGGTGAAGGGATTATCTTATTTTTCTAGAATCCTTTCTTACATAAACATCCTAAACATTTGTGGCACCAGGGTCACTTGGAGGCCTTCTGTCAGTGGTGACTGATGAAAGGAAGAAGCCTGTATTTTTTCTTTTCCATTTGCTTACTAAAGCCAAAACACCTTACAGGTATGACCTTGGGACTCTTTAGGCACAGTGCAAATGTCTTTAACAAAACTAAACAGTAAAAAATTATATTTTAATGCATTTTTTAGAAACAGACTATGGTGTCTCCTTTTGCAATACTGTGTGTCATTGTGGATGATTGGGATTTCTGCTTCTCATAATACTTGATGTATTCAAGTAATAATGTATTTTGTCTGGTAATATTTCAGTATCATTCATTCATTCAGCAAAAAGTTTTGAAAGCCTCTATGTGAAGCCTGTGTTCTAGGCACTGGGGACATTCTAGTATAAACAAATAATGACATACACTCATCCGTTGGTATCCATGGGGGATTGGTTCTAGGATCCTCTCCACACCCAGAATTCAAGGATGCTTAAGTCCTTTGTAAAATGGTGTAGTATTTGCATATAACCTATGCACAGTCTTGTGTATACTTTAAGTCATCTTTAGATTACTTTTAATACCTAATACATTGTAATGCTATGTAAATCGTAGTTATACTCTTTTTTTTTTTTTGAGACAGAGTCTGCTCTGCTGCCTGGGCTAGAGTGCCGTGGCATCAGCCTAGCTCACAGCAATCTTGAATTCCTGTGCTCAAGCGATCCTCCAACCTCAGCCTCCCGAGTAGCTGGGACTACAGGTGCATACCACCACGCCCGGCTAATTTTTTCTATTTTTAGTTGACTGGCTAATGTCTTTCTATTTTTAGTAGAGATGGGGTCTCGCTCTTGCTGAGGCTGGTCTTTAACTCCTAACCTCAAGCAATCCTCCTGCCTCAGCCTCCTAGAGTGCTAGGATTGCAGGTGTGAGCCACCATGCCCAGCCAGTTACATTCTTTTGTTTAGGGAATAATGACAAGAAAACTTCTGTATACCTTCAGTACAGATGAAACCATCATAGGCCTAACTACCTTTTCCATCTGCAGTTGATTGAATGTCCACGTGGATTTGGAACCCATGGATGCAGAAGGCCAACTGTGTATCGTTTGTCAGATGTTAATAAGTGCTGTGAGGAAAAATAAAGAGAGAAATGAGGTTAGGAGAATGCCAACAGAGTAGTGGGATGGTGGGGTTGTGATTTAAAATAAGATGGTTAGAGATGGGCCCACGATGAAGGTGACATGTGAACAGAGCCCTGAAGAGGATGAGGAAGCAAGCCATATGGATTGGCTGGGGGAATGGCATTGCAGGCAGAAGAAACAGCAAGTGCAGAGACTCTGAGGTGGGAAAGTGCCTAGTTTGTGCAGGTAACAGCAAGGAAGCCAGTGTGGTTGGAGCTGAGGAAAGGGGAAATAGTAGGTAAGATCAAAGAGAAAGGGCTGGGGAGATTGTGTAGGGAGTCATAGACGTTGTTAGGCTTTTACTCTGAGATTGGAAAGCTCTGGGAGATTTCGAGCAGAGTAATAATAAGATTTCATGTACCTTCTAAAAGGATTTGTGGCTGCCGTGTTGAGTAGACTGTATTGGGGCAAAGAAAGAGGCAAGAGACTAGTTAGGCTCTTTCATTATTTGAGGTAAGAGATGTTGGTGGCTTGGTGAAGTGTCAGGAAGGAGTCACGTTATATCTTGACGGTAGAGCCAACAGGACTTCCTGATGAAATGTGTGAATATGTATGAATTCTATGAATATGGTAGTTATATTCAAAGAAAGTGATCAAAGATGACTCCAATATTTTTGGACTGAACAAATAAGCTTCTGTTTATTAAAATAGGAAGATTGATGGAGAAGCAGGCTGGAGATAAGTTCAGTTTTGGACATGTTAAGTTTGAAGTGCTCATTAGATATTCAGATGAAGATGTCAAGTCATCTCTCAGGGAGAAGTCTGGACTGTAGATATAAGTTTAAAGCCATGAAATTAGTTGAAATCACCTAGGGAGTGAGTATATATAGAAAAGAAAAGGATTGAGTCCTGGGGGCACTCCTATGTGCAGAGGTAGGGAGAATGAGGAGGAAACAACCAAGAAGATTAAAGAGTATGGATGGTGATGTGGGAGGAACACAGGAGCATGTAGTGTCATGTTCTCAACTAACAATCTTGACTATTTCCATAGGGCTACATTTGGGGATCAGGAAACTGTGTTAGGCAAATTAGTCAGAAGGTTGTTTCTGTTTTGCTACATAAATTTCAGAGCTAATGATAGTTAAGGTTCTATTTTGCTTTTCTGGAACCGATCTATTTTTATCCCACTTTCTTAACAAGTTGTCACCCTGCCTGTAGAAGGTCTTAATTGACTTCTATTAAACATAATTTCTACCAGTTGGCTTTATGGACTTTTTCTTAACATATGCACGTTCCTAGAATTCTGCTGGTGGTGGGGCATTGAAATCAAATTGAAGACACATACCATATGATGAAGTAACAAATAGACAAGACCTTATAAAAGTTATCAAAGCTTCAGATGGTTTTTAGATACTCCTGCCAGTAAAACTGAACTTTAACAGCAATGGGAAAAGACTGCTTTCATCTCAAATAAATAAATCTCTTAATAGCTGAAAATAATTTAAATATATAAATAAAAATATTTTAAAATGGAGGACTTAGAAATTTTATGGGGAATGTTCATATGATATAGTGATATGTTGGTATTATAATACCTATTGTCCTTTCTCTGCCACATCTTAGCTGTTGTGCTTCTTCTCACCGTATATTTTCAGGATGCACTTTGTTCATAAACAAAAATGTCCTTTAAATGTTAAAACTGGAATGTGTAAATTTCCATTAAATGTTAAAGATAAGGAAAAAGTTTCAAAACTATTCTTTTAACCAGGTGTGGTGCTGCATACCTGTAGTATCAGCTACCCCAGAGGCTGAGGTTGGAGATCCCTTGAGCTTAGGAGGTCAAGGTTGCAGTGAGCTATGATGATACCATTGCTCTCCAGCCTGGGTGACAGAGTGAGACCCTGTCTCTAAAAAACAAACAAAAAACCTGGATTCTTTCTTGCATATAGAAGAAAGAAGGTATAAATGGAGGCAAATAATGCAATTAGTTAATGTGAAGGAAGGCAGACATCATTTTGAAATTTTCTTTCTTTTTTTTTTTTTTTTGAGACAGCGTCTCACTCTGTTGCCTTGGGTAGAGTGCAGTGGCGTCATCACAGCTCAGCACAACCTCAAACTCCTGGGCTCAAGCAATCCTCCTGCCTCAGCCTCCCGAGAAGCTGGGACTGTAGGTGTGCACCACCACACCTGGCTAATTTTTTTCTCTTTTTTGTAGAGACAGGGTCTCGCTCTTGTTCAGGCTGGTCTGGAACTTCTCACCTCAAGCGATCCTTCCATCTCAGCCTCCCAGAGTGCTAGGATTACAAGCGTGAGCCACCACGCCCAGC